TTAAAATAACTGAGCAATAAACACAACGTGATGCTTATTAAACAGCTTAGTCGTGTTGTGAGGTGAAAGACCTTCATGTGAGCGCCCTCAGTCATTGGACAAGCCTAAGAAATCAAGATAAGGACATCAGACATGCTCTAAATATGTTTGTTTAGTTGATAGAGTTGAAAAATGTGTTGATTTGGTGACTGATAAAAATTACGAAAATCTAGTAAGACTAGTAGAGCTTTTGCAGTGACAACATCTTAAATGTGCCCTTCCTACACGAGCTGGAGGATCTGTGCACGCCGTCACATGTTTTTCGGATGTTTACGGTCTGAGCTGTTTATTAGAAAAAGCTGCTTAATGAGTAAAAGCTGTGTACGCTGAGCGGGCTGCATGTGCTGTACCTGGACGTGTCTGAGTGCCGCGGGAGGTTAAATTACATGTAAACATGTAGTTAAAACAAGGAGTCAACACTGAAGTTATGGAGGTGCAATTAAGAGGACCAGACTGTTTTTATTTTTCACATAAAGGTACCCAGGGAGAGACGGCCAGTGTTTCAGTTAATATTCAGCTCCTTAAAACCACAAAACAAACACTGAGGACGAATTAAGTGATGTTTTCAAAACCTTAAGACGTTTTTTCAGGAAATGATGTCAGAAATATTTTATTAGATGAATGTTTTCATGAATCAGCTTTCAGATATTTGCTGTTCTGCTCTGGCCTTCAGTCGAAGGCAGAGCTATAAAACAGACCTGTGTACTGTAGGAAAACATGTTTCACGCAAATTTGTTGTTCTTGTTCAGGCAGTCGTTCCTTTTCTTTCTCCCTAGACGGGGATCTGTACGCGGGTACCTCGGTCGATTTCATGGGAGCCAACGCTGCGATCTTCAGGACATCCATCCAGGGCAGCAGCCAGCATTACATCCGCACTGAAGCCTACGATCACAACTGGCTCAACGGTAAGAAGCTGCGTTTGTTTTGTTCTCCGTTCGACACACCAGATATTCTGCAACACATGGAAACACTTACCGGTTAATGGTCCCCTGGACAAACGTTTGCTACTGTATATGAACCAAGCGCCCGATAAGTCCTGCAGAAATAAAAAGTTATGTGCAAAAATTAAACGTTGAATACAACTGTGTGGCAATAGATTTAAACCCTAGTATGAAACCAGAGGTAGACACACGGTTCCACCAAATCTTTGTAAAGAATGGATGCAGAGTGCACACCGCTCACGTTTTCTTAGACGAACCGAACCACTGATATCAGTAAGGATGAAAGAAAGCAGCTTTTAGGGCCTCTCAAGGGTGCAGACATCCACTTTGCCTGGTCGGAAACACAGCTTTGCATCCATCATCCTGGGGAGCTGCTCTCACTAAAGGTACTTTTAACTAATCAGGAGACCATTACTTAGTCTGTGGTTGTCATACATGAGCATTAATGTCCCTGCTCTGAGAGCCGAGACGATGAGTTATTCTAAAGGTTTTAGGACTCCTGAGCTTTGAACCTGTTTGGTTCTTTTTTTGTTTCATTCTTTTTCTCATTTTGTATACTTGCTTATTGTGTGTGTGTGTGTGTGTGTGAGGACGGGTATTAACATTTTCGTCGGGACAAAAATTAGCACGTTACTATACTTGTGAGGACAAAATCCCGTCCTCATGAGTTTGACGGCATTTTTGAGACTCAAAATGTGGTTTTAGTGTCAGGGTTACGATTAGGTTATTGTTATTTTTGATGGTTATTGTTATTTTTGATGGTCGGGGTTATTTTTGATGGTCGGGGTTATTTTTGATGGTCGG